AGACTTCCCTCCTTATCTTCCACACACATCCAGTGGGACATAAGCCCTGTGACGTCCCCCACCAGCCAGGTGCCGGTGCAGAGCCTGTCTGAAGGGAACACACCTCGCTCACTCTACCCTCATACACGTCAACGAGGTGTTGCCAATGTTGAAGATTCAGTTGCAGCAGATGTTTCTCATTCACCAGCCACACAATATACCTCTCTCTCACTTTTCTCTCCTACCAGGGACATATCCTCTCACAGTAGAACCAACCTCAGTGGGGCACGAGCTAGACACCCGGAGAGTCACCTGGAAGAGGAGGAGCGGCTGCCCAACAGTACTTTAGTTGAGGACGGATGGTTGCAAAAAAGAAAAATTAAAAAAGAGGCTCTGGCATTTAGATCAACAACCCCTGCTTGCTTAAGTCCTCAACCATCTGAGCTGCACCAAGTGGTGGCTGGAGAAGCTAGAAATACTGGTCCTAACCTACATTACCTTAATCCCAGGATTCAAAGTGTTACAGACATGGAGGAAGTAAGGGTTGTTCAAAAAGACAGACTGAGTCGTAATCAATCAGGCTGCTCTACATTGCCCTATGATCATCAGAAAGCAGGAGCAAAGGGAAAAGTCATAGTGAGTGATGATTCCACCTCCATATTGCCTTACAGTGAGCAAGAGAAAGAGGGTATCAGGGCTCGATCCAGAAAGAGTGACAAATGTGCCTTCAGTGAAAGCCCTAGTCGGATCTCACCCCTGACCCTGTTGGAAAATGAGACAGAAAGTGATCAGTCAAATTTCTCGAGAATGTCAGAATCGGTTAAAGTTAAGCTTGCTCCCCAACCAGCCAGGATGTCACCACTGCAGACCAGCACTATCCTGGAATACCTGAATCTTCCTGGTTTCATTGAAATGAGTGTAGATGATCCAGTAGAAGTGACTGAGTCTTCGGAATCTGTTGAACCCAGTGTCAAGGCAGAAACTGGGACACTGTTAAGAGATGAGCCTGATGTTGTACCCAAAAGTTGGGGAAAACATGGTCAGGACCACTCTGAGACCAATATTAGTCAGCCCAATGGGGCTGTTCATGACCACAGCACCCTGAACATTCCTGTAGAACATGATAATCCTGGAAGTATTCCAGTTTCTGAACCATGTTCACAATTAGAGGCAAGAGATACTTGTGATAAATCAGGTACCTCAGACACATGCAATAAAGGCTTCTCACAGTCTAAAGAAAATGAAAAGAGTTCTCAGCCTTTGCTTTCTCAGAGTTCAGGGTCTCAAAAACAAGAATTTACTCAGCGTGGTCCAGCACAGACATTAATTAGCACAGCTAAAAGCATGGCAGCAATAGTTTCCAAATGTCCAGACTCTACATCTGAACCATATCAAATACCTCAGACTCAGAATAAAAGGACAAACATGATATCCTCAAGGATCTATCAGGCTCCAGTGCCTTTCATGAAGAAATCAGTCAGCATCGGTCCCTGTAGGACCCTCTCTGGAATCGGGCAACCACGTCCTTTCCTAAAAAAGTCCATTAGTTTAGGTTCTAGATGGGAACATTTTGAAAATCCAAGAGCTTATATCTCTGAGACCTGTTACAGAGATGAATATCCCCATCCAGATATAAGGCTCAAATCATACAGTTTGGGTCGTACTCCTGCATGTTACTATCCCATGTCTGGCCCATCATGGCGAGGGACAGTGCCCTTTCAACCTCCTAACAGCTACAGTCTAGAGAGACATCAGCATATTGAAAGAGCTGACATGCAACCCCCCTATCACACACCTGGTCCCTCTGTCCCAGATCCACCACAACACATGGAATTGTCCCTTCCTTCCAGGAGGGGATCAGATCCACGTCGACAGGGAGCAGTCTTTCCAGATTCTTCTAGGTGGCCTCTGTCTTATCAGGAAACTCTCAGGTCAGTTCAGCATAAGTATGTTCCACAAGACCACTCTCGACATTTTGGCCCTACCAGACCGGTGGCCAGGGTGGACTACTTGCATCCTGCAGAACCCAGAAGGGGTCCACCAAGGCCTTTCCTACCCAGAGGTTACAGCTGGCCCTCACCATATCATACATCCTTCCCCCAACGAGAGCAAGACTTTCCGAGACAGGTGGACAAAGGGATGGGTGCAGCTAAGGGCTTCACAGAGACAGAAGGTCGGGATATAAGAGGTGATGGGGGCAGAGCCAGTTACGCCAGCCAGAGCAGTGGAAGGGGTAGTGTGGGACCGCATGGACACGGGCATCTACGCCAGTCTCTCTCTATCACCCCAACCTTACTCAGCTCGCCAGAGACCACAGAGGAGAGTGAGATGCACAGGGCAGACAAAGACGTGAGAATACAGAGGTCCAAAAGGTGAAGCTGATACAGAAATGCTTGAGGCAAGACCTCAACAAAGACAGCTAGAACAGTTACCAATTTCTTATTTTGTTCTGTACACATTTCTGTCACTGTCATTTTGTACGTCTCACTGTGTATTGTTGCATATGTGTGTGTCTAGAAGAAATACCTCAGTAGATGAGAGTTACGAATGGGATGCTGTGGAATGCTCTGTGGATCCCGACATCCTGGAGGCCATGAAGATGGAGCGGACCCATGCAGGCTTTGGGCGAGGCAGGGAGTTCAGGCAAGATCGCCCCCGCTCCACTGCTGGCCTCCAGGACTTCCAGAGTAAACGTAAGAACTTTAAACTCTTTGAGCATGTTTGATCATTCCCCACACCAAATATTATGGTAAATTAAGTTTCCCTTGAACTGTACCTATTTAACCTCACCCATTCTCCTCACTTTATCTTCATCCTCCTCCTCCTGCTCCTTTCCTCTCCTCCCAGGCCTGTACTCCATCAGCCCTCCCTTAGTATCCCAGCCTCCTCAGCACCGGTACAGTCGTTCCCTCAGTGAGGCCCGCTTCAATGCCTTGAGACAGGAGTTCCAGGAGTACCTCAGAGCCCAGCAATCCTGCTCCCAAGATTCCTGCATCCCCCCTGACCCAGACTCTGACTCCAGCTCCGCACTTCTTTGAAAACCTTACCTTGGTCCGTTACCTCCCTTTAATTCCTTTGACCTACAATATTTAAAGGAGTCATATGATGCTGCTAAAAAGAACATTATTTTGTGTATTTGGTGTAATGAAATGTGTTTATGCGGTTTAAGGTTAAAAAAACATTATTTTCCACATACTGTACATTATTGTTTCTCCTCTACGCCCCGCCTTTCTGAAACGCGTCGATTTTTACAACGCTCATCGTTCTAAAAAAGCGAGGTGTGTTCTGATTGGCCAGCTATCCAGTGCGTTGTGATTGGCCGAATACCTCGAGCGTGAGACAAATGTTACGCCCCTTACCATACTGTGATGATGCCCTGTTCAGCTGGAGCGATGATTCAAAAACATGAAAACCCATTATAAACGAGGCATTCAATGCATCCAGTGGGGACATAATTAGGGATTATAATGACTTATACTGTCTTTTTACACGTTGCGTTGCATCGCGCCGCGTAAACATAAAACCATGTCTGCATTTGTGATCGGAGAAATGACAAACTACAAGCCCTACTCTACACTGCCGTTCATGAGAAACGGCCGGAGGGTTAGAGTTAGCAGAGGCAGCGGGCTTGAGAACGGCGCGGCTGGCGATTTCGACAAAGGAGCGTCCGGAAGGACATGTGACGACTCCGGGTTGGACTCCGCTTCATCTACGGTGAAAGCCAATCCGGCGATCCACAGCGCAAAGTTGTAGTATTTCCTCAGCAACCAGCACGGATCAGCTCCAGGCATGACGAAGCGGATATCGTCCTCTTTGGAAGGCCAAACAAAGTAGTTTCGCTTTCACACCGAATCACACAGTGCCTTCACGACATAGCGGCGGCAACAACAATGCTACAGCGAGAATAAAAGTTACGCCTTCTTTCTTTGCGTGAACATTTGGGCGGCGTTATGCAAATCTTCCCACATAGCGACGTAGACATGTGGGGGCGTGTTAGAACGAGCCGTTTTAGGTATGTGTGGCTGACTCTTAACTTTTATACAGAATATCTCTTTGGATTTGAGACTTTAGTCTTTGCAACTTTACAGATCTTCTTTATGCATCAAGAGCTTGTAACACTCCAAAGAGAAAGGAAAAATTGAAATCGCATCATATGACCCCTTTAACTTGTTTTAACTCAGGCTATCTGCATAGTACTTCACTTTGTAGGCAAAATGTTCATGTCACTATATAAGATTCTGCAAGTGATATATTCACTTATGGCCTCAAAAACAGGAATTGTTGTGTTAGCAGACATTTATAAAATGCCTTGTTCCCGTGTTAAGTTGAGTGCAAACCCAAGGTTTTATTTGGTTTATCTCTTGTAGGTAACTAACCACAATCCCTGTGATTATATTTCCAGAGCATCCCAAGAAAGAAGACAAATTGGTTTTAAATACAAACCTAACAAATCCTGAGAAAGCAAAGGATCCAGATTTGACTATCCTCGACCAGCTTTGATGTATATTCATTCTTAAGCTGAATAAAGAGCATTGCCATGATGCTGTAAAGGTGCATTCAATTCCTACTGGTTTTTCTAAACTTGAAAAATGTACAGTATATGGAATGTAGATTTTGTATCGCTGTCTTTTGTTGACTTTGTATTTATCTGTTGTCATCAATCCCAGATTGCACTTCTATCTGTCTAGACTAAAAGGTTAGGGTACAGAAGTACAATTTTACAGAAAATAAGAAAAGACTAATTCGAAGTATCATACCGTTATGATACAGATTTTGTAAATGAAATTGATATCAATTGTGGATAATGGACATGCTGGAAATATAACTGTACTTCCAAAGGGTTTTTACATTCTCCAATCAGCCGAACCAAAACAACAGTATAGCATAAAGTCTGCTTGACAATCAGATACTGCAGCCAAGAAAATATATTTCAAGCAACTTAAATGTATAAATTTGTTGTATTTTACATATACATGAGTGAATGTATTTGAATATAATGTTGCGTATTTGTTTACTGTGTATATTTGGGCTCCATTCTTGTGTATATTTCACCATATCTTGAAACTGAAGTCATCTTAAACTCTTTGTCATTTTCATTTTGGTCAAGTCTCAAATTCTGTTATCATTTAAAGCAAAAATTCAGTGCCAATATTGAGTTAAGAAGCTTAGCCTCCTTAATACTCAAACTCTCTTCACAATTTGGCCTCTTTACTATTGTAACTCACTTTCCCAAAGAGAAACATATTCACAGCCAGTTCTCTTCTAGAATTCTTCTATATCTGTTTCACTTTAATACAAAGAACTCAGCTGACGTTAAAATAGATATTTAAAATGGCTGAAACAAAAACATGGATCTTGACATTCATCTCTGGCTCTTTGTCAGTCTGTGCTTAGTGTTGTAAATAGTTGTACTTTTCTTTTTCAATTTTGTACAACTGTTCATGAATGTTTTGTGAAAACATGAATCTGTCTTATATTTAAGATGCTGCTGTACATTTTTGTAACACATTTAAAGTTTTTTTTTTACATTTTTGAGAAGCCAGTTAAAGTTTTGTGTAAAAAAAATATAAAAATATCTGTTCTTTGTTTTTATAAATGTTGTCACACTTTTTTGTATGATTTGTAAAATAAAATGTTCCACTAAAATGTTACTATGTCATGTTGTGATAGCCTTTCAGTTATTTACTCATCTACTTCAAAAAGAACAAGTGTATGGTTTGGTTGCATGTACAGTGGGAGAAAAGGTCTATGCTATATGATACATAGTACAACACAGGAGTTGCACTGTATGCTTTTCTTTATTTACTCTCTGTATGTCCACATAATAGCGGATTCGGGTCAACCTAAAGTTAAGTGTGAAAGCCTTCAGGTGTCTTGCTTGCATCTCACGGGAATCACTTGGCAGTCATACGCATGACGTGCTTGACCATGTTCCCGATGCCATCGAAGATGTAATGGTAGTGATAGTCAGTCTCCCACATGAAGGTTGGAGTGCTGATCACCTTGTTTTTCTCGTCCACATAGGCCTCGTGAGATGGGCAGTTAAGGGAAAAATCATGTTTTCATATTGTTATGACATCTAGTTGACATATGCTTAGTGACTTCTTGCATAATTTAAAGGCACACTTTATAGTGTTTTCATAATACGTTTGACAGATATGTTAAAAATGAAAATGAAAGGATATGTAAGGTTCACGGGTGTTGTGACGGGCCCCCATGCTCTTGACCGCCTGCACCATGGTGGTGTTGGGCCAGCGGCCCCAGCGGCTGCTCTCGGTGTTTTACACCTAAAAAATTAATAATACGTTTGACAGATGAAAATGAAAGGATATGTAAGGTTCACGGGTGTTGTGACGGGCCCCCATGCTCTTGACCGCCTGCACCATGGTGGTGTTGGGCCAGCGGCCCCAGCGGCTGCTCTCGTCACGCTCGTAACCCATCGTGACTTCCAGATTGGGCAGCACTCGGCACGCCAGGAGAGGAGCCATACTGGACAGACTGAGCCAAAGAGAGAGCAGGATTGCGGTCAGTTGAAAAACAGTTAAACAATTTAACTGAAACATATTTACAGACCACAAGTGGAAATGCTTCTAATTTACATTTTCCCGATTTAAAGTAACTGTATGTAATTTCTATTTTTGCACTATGAAGCCCCCTACAGTTAAGTGAGTGAATTGACTGTCGTAATTAAAGTGGCTAGCTGTGCATGTGCATTTGTTGCTGCCCTAAAGCTATCTGCCTTTTTCGCGGTGTTTCGTACATGCTCACCAAACTTAGTCCAAAAACAGACGTTTGGGGGAAAACGAAGCCATTCGCCTCAGAAAAGGTCAGTGTACCATCAGAATGACTTTGAAAGTGATATTTAAAGGTAAAAAACTAGAATACAGTTGCTTTGACACAGCATTTGTCATTACTAGAATATATCAGAATAATTTGAATAAAGAAAATGTAGGTGAAGCAAGAAAAATCTGACCCTTTATACCCAACAGTTAGTGGTACTAATTTGATTAGTGACCTAAAAACGGTACTGAATCTTAAATAGCTGTCATTCACCCATCTTTATGTAGTATAAACAATGATTCAATTCAGATTTTATATTCACAGTTTTAATATTTTAGAGTCATATACCCAATGGGCTTGCGAGAGCGGTGGAATTCCTTCATAATTCTTTCCACATCATTATTCAGCTTGCACGGCTCAAGTGGTACATGGTGCTTCAAAGAGACACGGCATTATTTATTTATTTGATTTGATAGGATACTTGATTCTGATTGATCAATTAGCTGTCAATTAGCAGATAGCCTAGATATTATAATTTCAGTTCAAATCAGTATTTATTTGGCAAGTAGTCTTGTAATAAGGATCATGTGCAGTCATCCAGTCATTATCTCTAAATACGTTTCTTTTGTGATAACGACCAAGTGATTGTACATTATCCTTTACATAATCCAAACAGATCCATACGTTATAAAAAATATAAGAGTACTCCGCTATTGACAGGTTAATATTTTGAATCATGCTACTGCAAATAATATTTTTTAAAGTATTTTTTACAATTATTACAATGCATAAGGAAAAATATCTCATTTGCAAATTGAATTTTCTTGATTTAGTCAGAAATGCAACAAAATTCACTGATGTTTAAGCTCAAAACTACAAAAATCTATTTGGTAACAAAAGTCAACATAATCTCAGTCTTACAATTGGCTTCTAAACTAAATGTGGTAGCACTTTACAATAAGGCTTTATTTGTAAACATAGTTAATATGAACTGAGTATGAACAATACTTTTATTGCATTTAATAATCGCAACATTTACTACTACATTTTTTCAGTAGTCAATGCACTGGACTAACATGAACATTTTCAACTAACATTTAACAAAGGTTAATAAATACTGTTGAAATATATTGGTCATTATTAGTTTGTTAACAAATGAGACCTTATTGTAAAGTGTTACCATGAATGGAGCTTGTTTTAAGGATCCTTCTATGGTTTTACTGATAAACGAGCAAAATAATGATATAGGGAATGATATTTTGAACCGCACCCTGCTGTATACTTACTACGCAGCCTCATGGATGTCAGTTCCATCCCACCATCCGCAGCCTGAGAAAACCTTCAAAAGCAGATCCGGTTACAAATTCAGAACCAAACAGAGACTATATCTTATAGCGAACAAGAGATTCAAGAGTGAATGCTTCCATCGTTTTTAACCTGCCAGTTTGTTCTTACCACAGCGATGTTGGTGTTGCCCCAGTTGCCCCAGTCTCCCCCATGATGCATCAGGCAGGCGGGTTGGCGCACCAGCATGGCTGCGGCCTGCTTGGCGAGGAGTGCCCGTGATGCCAACATGATCACACTGCTGAGTTTACAACACAGAGATCAACCGCTAGAGAGTGTGCAGACTGAACTGAACTTGTCCGATCCTGCAGCAGAGGAAGCCCTGCTCTTTTATACTAATGTTGTATGCGAGACGTCACTCTGTAAGCTACGTTTCTGAGAAGATAAGATACTTTGTCTGAACAACCCTTTTCCTTTCTTCATTGCTTATCTAATAATACCTTCCTCAATTATCTTATTACCTTAAGTCATTTGGTCAACACCCGGCCGTTGATGCTTTGCTGTGGCTGCGGCCGTTTACCTGCATTTACCTCTTTAAACAGTCTGTCTGTCTGACCCGTTTAATTGCTTGATTTAATTTTGATAAACTGTGCAGTCGCCTAAACTCTTGAACATATATAATTTATCATTTTGTTTTGACTGCTTTTATTGTCCTCATTTGTAAGTCGCTTTGGATAAAAGCGTCTGCTAAATGACTAAATGTATAATAAACTAAAACTAAAATATGCATTTATAAGTTATATAATATACATATATTAAATGTTATATTTTGGGTCCACACTTAAACATTTTTAGGGTCCACACTTAAAATCTTTAGCCCTAAAACTTTCTAGAGAGAGAGTATAGTAATTATAGTACTATTATGATTCGTTTTTTTTACTTATCAATTTTTCTTTTGTATTTTAGTTCAAATTGTAGTCATTTTGTTGTGCGTTTTTGTCATTTTTAGTAGTTTTTGGGGGGTTTATATGTAGTTTTAATCATTTTTTATTTCAATCAACTAGATTAAAATGTTGACTTGCCAAATAGTTACAATAAAACATTTTTTATTTTTATTTTATTTCAAGCATCATCATTTTTTATGGTTTTAGTTAACTATATTAACCCTTTGTTGTATTGCCTAAAAACTGCCATATGTAACATCATTATCGCGTATTGATATATTTATCAAACAATCACAACTTTACAAGCAATGTGTTACTACAATGTTTTATTGGCTAAACTGAATTAGAGAAACGTGTTGAACGTTTGCTGTTTGAGGCATCTAAAGCATCTGACTGAATTAAATTGAATGAGATAGTGCCCTCTAAAACCCATTACTTAATAAGGCTCTTAAATGCAGTAATACTATGTGGTGTCTGCTGGAGGCCCGGGCACTGATCCAGTGGGTTGTAGTCGTCAGTTAGAGATCCTACAGGACACACTATAAAACCTTCTCAACGGCCAGATTACACTAGTGCACTACAGATGAAACATACTGAGCTTTAGTGAAGAAATGAACATGGAGTTCAGAAATAGGCCTTTGGTGCAAAACACCTTCAGATTCCTCAAGAACGCAAAAACTTATACAAACGCATGTCATAAATGGTGGCACTGGTGCATTTATTTAAAGAGAAGTACAGTATTAACAGTAATAAGAATTTAAACTGCTTTGTCAAATGAGCACCTTGTGAAACCTTCAGGGAAATTCCCGCCAGTGTATATGTTATCAAATCCAGGCATTATAAGAAATTTGATCGAAAGGTTTCACTTATATGTCGTGTGTCTCTCAGAGTTTATGGATCTTCCTGTTGAAGGACGTGCAGCTTAGCTCAGCTCTCGTCTCATCTTTGACATTTGGCTGCTTCTCTGGAAAGATTCTTATTTAGTTCATTAGGGATTCAAACGTGATCGTTCACTCATTCCTTACGTCTCCCTGGTGAAGAAAAAGTACATATTTTTGACCTTCCTTCAGCTAATAGAGACTGACTGAGGTGTTTAAGCCTTTTCACAGAGTAAAAAAAGGCCGAACCGTAAGACCTTCTAATCAGCAGACATGATGGCACAATGACAGACAGCGTAACCTTCACTGCAGAGGAAGGTTAAGAGTTCACCGCTCTCCTGAGACGCAGTCTGTGCACGTCCTGCGCTCTCCTCTGCCGCTCTGACATAGTGCTGCTCCGACCGTGTTTGATGGCTGGGAGATGCACAGTTTCTCCTTTACCGGCGTGACTCGGGATCCTGGGGGGGAATGACCAAAAACTGTTTCAGAATTATGGATTGTCTGTGGTATTCGGTGATGATGATGATGATGATGATAGAAAAGCCAGCCTACTGTTTCTTTGGCAGTGGTTTGAGAGGTAGTTGTGGAAAATGCCCGAAAACTTCACCCCTGAAAAAGAATTGTATGTTTACATGTGAAAATAAAGTGCCAATGATTTTCGAGATGGATTCTGAATAGGCAAACAGAATTTATTTTATGATATAATAGAGAAATAAGGTGTCCCGGCCACATTTCACCCAAAAAAATAATAATTTGCATTCTGTTCCAGTGATGTTGATATAATAATTATTATTTTTATTTTTTTTTTTATTATTATAGTATGCATTGCATGGATAAAATTCAGTTGTGCTTTAATATTTAAATGATGAATAAAAAATTATATATATAAAAAAAAACTATATATATATATAATATTTTGACTGAGATTTCAAGCAAAATATAGCTTATTTCTTTCTTTTGTAAATGCAAAAAATTATAATAATATCATTATAATTGTAATATATATAAACATTTGTCACATTTCCCCCAAAAGAAAAACAACAAATGAAATTATGGATTTTTTTCATGGTATTACATTATTTATTATAATGACAATCCTGTTTATCAAATTATTATTAAAGGAATAGTTCATCCAAAAATGAAAATTCTGTCATTAATTACTCACCCTCGTGTCATTCTAAACCCGTACGACCTTCGTTCATCTTTGGAACACAATTTAAGATATTTCTGATGAAATCCGAGAGCTCTCTGACCCTCCCATAGACAGCAATGCAACTGAAATGTTCCCAGGCACAGAAACGTAGTAAGGACATCGGTAAAATAGTCCATGTGACATCAGGGGTTCAACTGTAATTTTACAAAGCTACGAGAATACTTTTTGTGCGCGAAGAAAAAAAAACGTTATTAAACAATTCTTCTGTATTGTATTCTTCATGTAAACGACACATGCGCATATGTGCGTGCTCGACATAAGCACCAGCGCTATGCGCATGCGTTGTTTACATGAAGCGGAAGCAAGCACATGCAGCAGACCGGATGTATAGAAGAAGAATTGTTTAATAAAGTCGTTATTTTTGCTTTCTTCACGCACAAAAATTATTCTCGTAGCTTTGTTAAATTACAGTTGAACCCTTGATGGCACATGGACTATTTTACCGATGTCCTTACTACGTTTCTGGGCCTGGGAACATTTCAGTTGCATTGCTGTCTATGGGAGGGTCAGAGAGCTCTCGGATTTCATCAAAAATATCTTCATTTGTGTTCCGGAGATGAACGAAGGTCTTACGGGTTTGGAATGACACGAGGGTGAGTAATTAATGACAGAATTTTCATTTTGGGGTGAACTATCCCTTCAAAATCATAGTCTGCATTATGTATTCTTACAATTACCATAAATACTTAAATTACTTCTAATTACTATAAAAATATATTACAATAATAATACTTTTTAAACAATTGTTATTATTATTAAAATCATAGTCCGCATTATGTAGACTCCCAATTCTCATAAATACTTAAATTACTTCTAATTACTACAAAATATATTACACTTGTATTAAAAATTACACACGTATATTTAAAAAAAAAAAAAACATTTTTATGAGATTTATTTTTTAATGAGATTTGAATTCGATTTAATGAGATGCAAAATATAGTTTCTTATTTCTTTCTTTAGATTTTGGCTTGACCCCAGGATTTCCGTGAGATTGACGCAGAATAACGGAGCACCTGCTGTTGTCACAGAACGAGGCTCTTGCGAGAGAGAAAACTTCATCTGTTTTTGGAGGTGATTTCTCTGAGGACCGTCTTGATCCGCAGCAGCTGAGTGATGGAACATGATGAGTGTCAAGTATGAATGTATGAATCACGACAGACAGGATGAAGCGCTGCTGACCTCCTGATACTGCGTGGTGTTGGCGTGATAGAGCTGCCGGATGATGAGCTTGCACTCCTTCAGCGTCGGGATGCGGGGCTCCTGGGACGGGCTGCAGGTGATCCTGAGAGGCAGCAGAGCACTTCCTCCTCCTGCCTCGGACGCCTCCTCTGAGCTGGAGCGGTGTGATTTACTTGGTTAAATGAGGTCAGTTAATCAGAGATGCTAACTCAAGGGTTATAGAGATTTGGCACCTGATGAATCCACACTGGGAATTCTTCTCGGCTGAACCGTCGCTGCTGGATTTTGAAGAATTACTGCTGGACCATATGGACTCTGTGTGCATCACACCAGGGTTATTAGAGTCAGCTATAACTACAGTTAAAACCATAAAGAAAATGTGTTACTTGAAATAAAATAAACATGATCTGAAATAATATATTAAAAAACATTTTTATTTAGGCTAGTTGCCAAGGCAATTCTCATTTTCTTTTGTTTAACTTCATTATTAATCATTATTAAATAATTAAGTATTTTTTTATAAAAAATTATTATAAAAAAACAAAATAAATACAAATTATATCTACTAATACAAATGACAAAAACAAACAACAAAATGACTAAAACGTGAATTAATATTAAAACAAAATATGAAAATACAAACTAATTTAAAATGTTAATAAAAACTAGTAAAGTATCTCAATAATACTAAAATGATATCTAAATATTAAGAACTAATAAAAATGACACGACAAACAATAAACAACAAAATTAAAACTTTAACTAAAATTAAAACAAAGTATAAAAATAAAAACTCATTCAAAATGTTAATAACAACTATAAAAGTATCTCAGTAGTATTAAAATAACACTGGATATCAGTTTGCAGTAAACAACAAAACAAGAAACAATAAGAAAAAATCAGATCTTTCCTCTGCACAGGTTAATAGTCTTTAAGGGTCTTTCTAAAGCAAATTTTGCATCATTGCATGAGCATATTATGAATATAATTACGAAAAATTAGGCTTGATAAAACCTAGCTTACCTTTTGGAGAATGTTCATGTTCCATAATCAGCTGATACTGTAATTCTGTAAAAGAAGTAAATATTTAAGTGTAAAAATAATATGCAATTGTGCATCAAAACGGGTCTTTTTGTGCTTTATTTGTATCCACAAGACGGAACTGTGACAATGTTTAAACTAGTTTATGGAAGTAATGCAAACAAATGTTAAAATGTACCTTATGGTTTGTTCTTTCTTCCATCACGCTTGAGGAAGTGACATCATCAGCAACCTTCTGACCACATGCCTCAAACAGAAATAAGTTTGTTTTCCAGTCTTTATCAGTGTTTCATTATGTTTGGCCTTAGTATTTCAACTGTTTTGGGGTAAAAACTAGAATATTGGGGTAACCTTGTGCCTCTATTGCGTTCCGCCGGTGTCTATGGCAGTTTTCATCCTGCTGTTTTAGACCTTTAGTGGTCAAATTAGATTGAGCAACCTTCTCAAATGAAATGATGAAACAATATCTTGAAAAATGTTCAAACTGCATCATTTCCTAAGAAGGACTGCAATGCAGCACACCTTTATTAACACGCTTCAGATCTTCCATTTCTGCACGCAGTCTCTCCAGCGTGTCTTTATGCTGTTGTTGGAGGAACAGAACATCTTTCTCCAGAGATGCGATGCGTGTGCTGTGTGCATCTGTCCTGGGCTGAGCAGCTGCTTGTGGGCTCTTGATGTCCACAGGTGGAGATCTGACCATACAGTCCCTGGACAGATGTCTGGGGTATCTCACCCGCTCCAGATCTCGAACCCTAGTCCAGCTGGGCAGGTTTCGCAGGGGTGGCAGATTACTGGTGGACATGGTGCTACTGGGATGAATATTAGATTATTAATTCATGGAATTTAGGCTCATAGGCTCATATATAAACGCAACATAGACCTTGAATGAGACAAGCATCTCTACGGCACATTTTAAAGCTGAAAACATTGTTACATTGTTCTCAAAAATATGCTATATAAGTCAGCTTTTTCTAAAAGTAGTTGCTTAATATAGGTCTGGCTTCATTTACATACAACATATTTATCCTGGTTTCAGCGGAAATGCCGGTGGTGAGGCTTTGAGGAAACACTCACGCACATGTTATTTGGAAACTTTTTATTTTCCATGTCAGTAAACGTATTTCAAATGAAACACAGAAAGGAAATGTGAAATTAAGTAGAACACAAAACCACCAGATTACTAGAAAAACAACCAAAACTGTATGCAAAAGTGAACAGCATGTGTGAAATCTGAACAATTACAGTCCATTTAGGCAACACATGTGCAGTATCAAATGTCATGCAGTGATTTTATCAAAAATAATCAGACCAGAGCAAAAGCTAGACAAGTGAATCGTGGATACAATCATGATCGAATGTGTTAAGACTCGTTCATAGCTCACACTATTACTATCAAAATACAGCAAACACAATTTCACTAAAAAAACAAATCCAATTAATATACAACACGCTCACAATGTTATGTTGGCAAACCTGAAAACCTCCAAATTGCAGGTACATAAAATATCCGCTTTCTTTTTTCTTTGAGAGTCTGTTTCAACCGGGTAATATATAATAAATAATTTGTCCATCCATCTTGGGTATTTGCAGCTATATTTGCATTAAAGTAACATTACAATAACTGATTAAAAATGAATCCGGAAGTGTGCAGATATGGCAGCATCTGTAGACTAATTAATTAAAATAAATAAAAGGATATTTTGATAGCATGATAAAAAAATGAAAGGAAAGTGACCAATTGAAAAACAGGAACAAAAGTCGAAAGTGCAGCTCAACATTTCAAATGGAAAACATGATAAACCTTTGATGAAACAGAAAAAGATGCCTTTGGAAAAACTTCCCCACAGTACGCCGAAGAGGCTGCCGGTAAATGCATCTTCAACAAGCATGATGCCCTTCAAGTCTTTAATCAACAATAAAGCGTGCCAAAAAGATACTCAGTTTTCTAAATCTGTGTGGGTTTTTATTGCCAGATTCATGCAAACTACTGCAAGATGAATTCGAATGGAATTCTACAAGCAATGCCATAATTATTCGCTTTGATTTATTCCATGCACGCAAGCTCTGTCTGCCAAAGGAAAACGCTCATTTAAATGCGTGCATGGATATGGGCATTCTGCACGATCTGGAATACTGAATAAATATTCATTCTTGATGGCGCACCTAAAATCTGAACATCGTTGCTTTATCTGAAGGCCAAAGGTGTGGCATTGGGCAGAGAACATGTGGGGCGACGGCGGTTGGCAATCAGGGTGTGTAGGCCGGTGGAGGCTGGAATTGGTTGGCAACGTCGTAGTCAACTGGGTATGTTTCACTGCTCTCCTCCATCTCTGAGAGGAGCTCCAGGGCCTGCTCCTCCTCCTCGGTGGGGTAATGACGGAGCAGGTTGGCCGCCGTGGCTAAAATGGAGGCTCCGCCTGCACCGGCCACCAGGTAGAAGCTGATGGCAAAAGTGACGTAGATGAGCGAGCCGTGGTACTTCTTGTGCTGCTGCTGCAGGGACAGAATCAGTTCCGAGGCCCAGTAGCAGAAGCCGATCACTGTAGCGCACTGGAGCACTGCAATACAGAGTCATGAAGACATTAATGGGACACTTCTCCTCAAAAAACTGCTGAAAATCCTTTACCTAATTTAGTGTTCCCATCAAAAATTGCTTATATAGCCTATCCCTCATTACGGTATGTTATCAACAAATCTTGGATTCAATCTTTTTGTCAGTTTGTTTTCTTTCAATTAGCACACGTTAGGTATTTCTTCTCTGAACTGACTGATCTGAGCTTATGCACCTCAATTTTTGAGTGAAAAAAAGCATTTTTGTGGATAATTTTTGGCAGTGTTCACTTAAAAACTGAGGTGCATAAGCTCAGATCAATGAGGCCTACGATCAGTCAGTTCCAAAATGAAATCCTAAAACGTATTAATAGTTGAAACTAGTTGGAAAAAACAAGTTGACAAAAAGACTGAATCCAAGATTTGATAATGAAAGATTTATAAGCAATGTTTTGTAGGTTGGTCAATTTTGATCAGGAACACCACAAATTTTATTATGCCTTTATTAATTTTTTTTTAACTTTTGGTGACCACAACTTTCAATAGAGGAACAGAAACCTCTCAGGTTTTATTAATTATAGTCTAATAGTTTTGGTTAATGATGTTTGAGTTAATGATGACAGCATTTTCATTTTTGGATGAAATATACATTTAATGCTACAAAAAATAACTATATTTATATTAAGAAGTAAATCCTTCATGAATGCGTACCTGTGAGGATGTGAGCGAAAGCGTATCTGCGTGTGATCTTGAGGGCTGGGTGTTTGGGTCCAAAGACATCCAACAGAAATGCCGTGAGGCTGCACAGAATGCCCAAGAAACAGAAAGCAGCAATGACCCGCAAGAGCAGGATGGACTGAGAGTTGATACAGTAATCTGTGAGAGAGAATGAACAAAACATTTTATCATTTATCGTTAAAAATGCAAGTAGAAGAACTCCATTTCAACTTCAAATTGTAATCTATGCACACTACCATTCAAAAAGCTTGCGGTTGCCACAAAAATATGAAGCAGCGCAGCTGTTTTCAACATTGATATTAATAAGAAGTTTCTTAAGCAGCAAACTAATGTTTCTTGAGCAAATGAGTACATTACAATTATTTCTGAAGGATCATGTGACACTGAAGACTGGAGTAGTGATGCTTAAAGGGGTCATAGGATGCCCATTTTCCACAAGTTGATATGATTCTTTAAGGTCTTAATGAAAAGTCTGTAACATAGTTTTGTTAAAGGTGACATATCATGAAAATCTGACTTTTCCAGGTTTTAAGTGCTATAATCAGGTCCCCGGTGCATCTACCAACCAAGGAAATGTTAAAAAGATTAACCCAGTAAATTTGTAAAAACGGGCATAATATGTCTCCTTTAAAATTTCTCAATGGTAGTGTCAAAAACACCTTTTTTACCCTGTCAAAAACAGCTCTTTTCAGAGCATGCAGATTTGTAGAAATTTCCTTTAAATGTTAATGAGCTCTGCTGACCCCGCCCCTCTCTTCCGAGCCGCTCTCAGAGAGACTGTTTAGTTAAGCTGCATTCATCGTGAAACTTGCTAATTATTAGCACATTATTAGGAAAGGCGATTTGCAAAGATTCGTTAAAAAAACCTTACACTCACTTCTTCTGTAGATGATGCTGGATCACGAATGATTCGCGCAAACATAGACGCATTTATGTAGATCGGGGGCGCATTCCCTTCAGAAACAAACATAATCCGCTGCGTCTTCAGCGGCTCAGATGTCGGGAGTAAATGACGACTGCTTTGTTCATTATTACATCCAACAACAGAAGACCTCAATCGCTTAGGAGTCATTCTTGTCTACATCTGCTCCACAGAGCCATTGTTCAGTGACGAGCTGCGCAAAACCACGTTCGTATTTGCGCAGCTCGTCAGTGAATAACAGCTCTGTGTAGTTAATGCTGCTCAATGTGAAAGCACGCAGGTGATGGAGATTTACCGCTGATTACAGAACCGGCTTTCTGACAAGATGCGCATTAAATATCGCATGCGATTTATCATGCAGCCCTAGTCTAAGGTAAGATGCCAGTCCAGTCTGTACCGTCAATCAAACTATCGTGGGAGGGGCCTGTCTGTGTGACGTCACACAGACAGGCATCTGAGATCGGCTCGATTTGAGAAAGGGGTAAAGATTTTAGTAGATTAACAAAAAAACACAGAGTGGATTTTTATCATTTTAAGGTGGTTGTGTTCACACACTGCCAACACACATTTCAGCTCAAACTACTTGTAAAAGTGCATGTAGCATTATATGACCCCTTTAAAATTCAGCTTTGAATCACAGCAAAAAATTACATTGTAAAATCTATTCAAATAGAAGACGGCTGTTCCAAATTTACCAATATTACTAATGTTGTCTTTTTTGATCAAATAAATGCAGCCAGGTGAGCAGAAGAGACTTCTTTCAAAAACCTTACAGACCCCAATCTATCTCAGTTTGGGATACCAACCCTCAATGAGTTTGTCATCTATATATCCCAGGACGTCTGCGACACCGAGCTCCTGTCTGGGGCAGGTTCCTCCATGGACGCGGAGCCAGGCTGGTTCTGCCAGGGCTGTACAGAGTGCCGTGATGGAAAGCGCCCCGGGCAGCGCGGATGCTAAACTCCGCTCTGGTTGTTTGGGTAGAGCCGTTCCACTTCTCCTCCTCCGGTTTCCAGGCGCAGCAGTTCCCGGGGGTGCGTACATGGTCTTAAAAGCTCTGAAAACCCTTGATTAAAACAATAAAACTCAAATAGACTGGAGTGAGAGTGGAGAGAACTGGGGTTTGACCTCCGCCGGGCACTACAGACGAAATAAAATAAATCAAATCAAAACCCAAATCTTGTTACAGTAATCTGGAGCAAAGCATGAGACTAAGTGTTTTAATTAATGGTGATTACTAAGAACTGACTGGAAGAGAATAATAGTTTACATGTATGCAAAAGTGACTTATTTATATGATTTTTAGTAATGAAACTACTTATTATTAATAATGAATTATAGTAGTGCTGTCAAACGATTAATCGCGATTAATCGCATCCAAAGTAAAAGTTGTTGTTGACATAATATGTGTGCGTGCTGTGCATATTTATTTTGTATATATAAATACACACACATGCATGTATATATTTTGAAAATATTTACATGCATATATGTATATTATTCATATAATTTATAATAATTTAATTACATTATTATATTATTTATAAATATATTTAATATAAACATAATATATTTTTCTTAAATATATACATGCATGCATGCATGTGTGTGTATTTATATATACATAATAAATATACAGTACACACACACATATTATGTCAACAAAAACTTTTATTTTGAATGCGATTAATCGCGATTAATCATGTGACAGCACTAAATTAAAGTAAACTATTGGTAGACAGACACTAATGATAGATTAACCTACCTGTTTCCAACTTCTAATCATTATTATGTTAAATGATTGATTACAGAATAAACATACCCACTTAATAACAGAAGAAGAATACATAAACAATACTGTGTTGCATTTTTTATCTTCCTGTTATATAACAACAGATTAATGGTGTATTATATAGGCTATATATATATATATATATAAGCAAGTATACATTTGATTTAAACCGCATATTTACCTGTTTGCTGTAACTGAAGCTCCTCTGTAAGTTTTTAATCAGATTTGATCATTTATGTCATGAACTGGCCTTACACCTTCACAACACACACAAAACCCTTTAAAACCTTCTCAAATCCCACCGAAATATAAAGCAACTCAATGAAAGAAATGCATAATGTGTTCAGCTTCGAATTATCCTGCTGCTCGCCGCTATATCGTAGACATTTTCGCGTGTTTTATTGTTGATTTCCAGTAAAAACATAAACAATAGTCCGTCCACTTCCTCCGTCAGACGGAGAGCTCCTCCTGTCTCAGACTTCCGCTTCCTGTGTGTTGCCGTTTGAACCCATAGATGTGTTTACGTAGATGCCTCACTAGCGACTGTTTCTATGGGCCGCTGTATGTAACGGCTCTTTTTTTGTTTTGTTCGTTTTTTTTTTTTTTAATGCCTAGGTACCAAATATAAAAATACAGAGAATATCAACATTACATACAAAGAGGTGACATTACATGCAAAGCACCATTTATAGACGTATGTAACAATAAATAAATAATACAAAATAAATTAAAAAGATTAAATAAATTAACCGTTTTAAAAGCCTTGAAATTCTTGGAAGATGAAATAGTTTGGATATACTAGCTGAACGGCTCTGTGCGAACCTACGGTCGGACGCATTGGGGCATCTACTGTATTCACATCTATGTTTGAACCAATCAGACGCGTCCTTCCGCAGACGCCAGTCCTCGAGCATGTGTATGTGTGAAGAATCGAAACTTACGGTGGCCGAGAGGTGCAGAACAAATCACAATTCTGAAAACAAAATAACAAATTACAAACGCAAATGCAAGTCTACAAAACCAAATAACAATTCAGAAAACACAACAACAATTCAGAAAACATTATAACAAGTCAGAAAACACAATGACAAATTCAGACAAACCGGAAGAGGTAGGTATAGTCTGAGACAGCGCCATTGCTTTGAGATTACTCACCGCTGATTGGACGAGACATCTGTCACTCACCGTATACAGAGAAGAACCAGCCGAAGAACAGCAGAGTCCTGGTAGAAAGTTCGGAGATGGTTTAGCTCAGTTTAAATGTATTGTATGAATTGCCCTTACTCTGGAAAAATGTAAATTGACACTCCGTATTCTTTATTCCAGAGTAAGGGCAATTCATACAATACATTTAAACTGAGCTAAACCATCTCCGAACTTTCTACCAGGACTCTGCTGTTCTTCGGATGGTTCTTCTCTGTATACGTTGAGTGACAGATGTCTCGTCCAATCAGCGGTGAGTAATCTCAAAGCAATGGCGCTCTCTCAAACTATACCTACCTCTTCCGGTTTGTCTGAATTTGTCGTTGTGTTTTCTGACTTGTTATAATGTTTTCTGAATTGTTGTTGTGCTTTCTGAATTGTTATTTGGTTTTGTAGACTTGCATTTGCGTTTGTAATTTGTTATTTTGTTTTCAGAATTGTGATTTGTTCTGCACCTCTCGGCCACCATAGAAACTACTTTATTTGGGCTTTGCCATTACTCTAAAATATTGTGGACTTTTCCCTATTTGTTAGTGAGAACATTGATACGGATTTTTCTTTCCTTTGGGGAAATGTTTTGTTTGGAATTGTTAATTGGATAAAATAACATTTACTGAAAAACAAAATATACTTACTTAATCTTCTTATTTTATTAACCCAATTTTATATACATAAATGTAAATGTTCAGGACAAAAACCACTGTTTTATGTTTTGCTTGCTGAATTGCAGCATTGCTTTGGGACTATCTGTAACTCGTGTAACAAGAAGGCTTTACAAAACAATTTAAATTTGTAAGTCTTTTAATCTTTTCCTTTGATGTGATCTTTTGTGATTAGTTATATACCCGTTTTGTACCCTGTGTTTTTTTTAATTATTATTATTTATTTTGTTCTACGTTGTGACTGCTTTTATCTTTGTCTATATAATGTTCTTAATAAAAAAAAATAAATAAATAAATAAAAGAATCGAAACTATTCTGGACATGTGATTTTCTTATCGCTTTCCCTACTTTATTGTTTTAGCTTATTATTGTAGTTGTTTCGATGTAATTTATGTTATTGCCCTTGAATGTTTATTGTTCTAAGAACTGCAATAAAATAAAACAGTAAGATTTCCCCCTTCGTAATGCAGCATGTTCTTCATGCAGAGATCATCCCACTCTTATTTGAACTCTTCCACTCTTATAAACGTAATAAACTAAAACTGAAATTGAAGTCGTATGCTTTCAGTTAAAATAAAACAAAATGTATTTAAATAAAACATAAAAACAAAATTAAAATAATTGATCAAATAAATTAAATATAATCACAAAGCTAAATTAAATTAAACAATAATAGGTCTCGCTGTATTTGAAAGATTTTATCGTCAACCATTAAAATAATGACATAAAATCGAATTTTCTGCTAATTTTTCTACTTTTTTTATTTTATTTTATTATTTTATTTATTATTATTTTTTTAAATTTATTTATTTATTTTATTATTATTTATTTATTTATTTTATTTTTTATTTTTATTATTATTCTTTTTGTTTTATTAGACATAGGAAGTACAAATGCGAAAAAACATACACCAATAAAAAAAGCCAGGGTTTCAAGGATGGTCAAACAATACATAGCAACTACATTTCAAGAGAGAGAGAAAGAAACATTAAAAAAGGTAAATAAATGAAAAATAAATAAATAAAATAAGCAGATCACATAAAAATAAACATAATCTTTCACCAGGGGTTCAAGGATGGTCAAACAATGCACGGCAATTACATTTCAAGAGCGAGAAAGAGAGAAATAAACATTTAAATAAATGGGGAAAAAATGAAATAAGCAGATCACATAACAATAAACACAATATTTCCAACAAAACCAATTAATTATTAAATAAAACGTCTACAAAAAAGTAGTTTTAGTTGCCTTTTTGTTACTGGAAGTAGATTTTAATATATTTTTGAAAATAAGATCAGTAGGGGGTAACTTTCATAAACTTGCATTTGTGAATAAAATATTTTGCATGCAAAGTAAACATTCCCATATTGCTCATCATGCACCCTTTCGCTGCAGTCCTGATGGTGGCGCTGCTGCCGTGCATTTGCATCAACAGGAAAGCACTGAAGCAGGAAGCTGCGGATAAACACAAGTCCTGACGCAGCGTGACATAGAGAGAGGATAGTGTGGCTGATCGGGGGAGACTTGCATGTCATATAATCACAAATACCATCGAGTAACACGAGATGAAGGGCGCGCTGGAGCTGCAGCAGAGGGTGAGCGCGCACGCAGACGCGAGCTGCTGGTACGTCGCGTGGAGCCCGGCTGGAACGCTGCTTGCGTCATGCGGCGGAGACCGCGCCGTGAGAATCTGGGGGAAAGAAGGTACAAACACAACATATGTATGTTCTACACCACAGAGCACCTGTCTAAACCATGTACTTATTATATATGAGCGCTGAAGTACGTCAAGTTGAAGTAAGTTTTGCCTCTTTGTCGCCATCTCTGTTTGTAAACCTGCAATTGCAGTTGTTTGCGCAATTATTTTCTTAAAGGGGTCATGTGATGTTGCTAAAAATAACATTATTTGGTGTACTGAAATGTTTATGCGGTTTAAATTTTTCCACGTACTGTACATTATAGTTTCTCCTCTATGCCTCGCCTTTCTGAAATGCGTAGATTTTTACAAAGCTCATCGTTCTGAAAAGCGAGGTGTGCTGTGATTGGTCAGCTATCCAGTGCGTTGTGATTGGTTGAATTCCTCAAGCGTGTGACGGAAATGTTACGCCCCTCACCAGCCCTCTAGAACACCAATTGAGTCGCCATTGGCTAGTAAATTTTTTTGTTTACTCGCCAGACTGATAAATATATATATCTATACAACATTAGCATTGCGTGACTACGTGTGTGTAGTATGTATTAGCATGTAGATTTCAATTTCTGTACAGTCTAATCTCTAATTGTCATACCTTTTAACCCAAAAAGCAAATTATTTTTCCTTCGAACTGGTTTTCTTTGAAATACAGAACTTGTGTAATCCCAGGTGCTGTGATTGGTCAGCTATCCAGTGCGTTGTGATTGGCTGAATTCCTCAAGCGTGTGACGGAAATGTTACGCCCCTCACCAGCCCTCTAGAACACCTTGGCAATTGAGTCGCCATTGGCTAGTAAATTTTTTTGTTTACTCGCCAGACTGATAAATATATATATCTATACAACATTAGCATTGCGTGACTACGTGTGTGTAGTATGTATTAGCATGTAGATTTCAATTTCTGTACAGTCTAATCTCTAATTGTCATACCTTTTAACCCAAAAAGCAAATTATTTTTCCTTCGAACTGGTTTTCTTTGAAATACAGAACTTGTGTAATCCCAGGCTATCTGTAAACCGATGCACATTTAAAACTAGAATATAATCTAATTTCAGTGACGTGTTTCATAAACACATAGTCCTTTTTGGATTATGATACATTTAATTATTTCAGCTGCTGTGAGAAAAGGCTATAAACGATCCGCCACCTGCAGGACCCTCACATGCGATATAGCATAGGGAAAACTTCTTTATGTTTACAGACGTGACGTAATAATGACGCAGCTGCATGCTCGAATTTCCTGCAAATTGCTGTACCACTCAAATTACAAAACATTATTATAAGTTAACCATTGTGTAAGTAAGGCGATCGTTTTGAACACTGGCTGGTTATGTACTCGCTCTTGATTTCGGATAATTTTTTACCAAAAAATGTTACGGACTGCAGCTACAATAAGCAACAAAAAGTATGTGATGCACAAAACAAATATACAACACCCTACACACTGCTTATACTATTTTACTATTTGCTAATTATTTAACACATCCTTGCAAGACTGCATCTGATTATAGATTATTTTGTATATACGTATTTTACATATATTTCTGTTTCTATTTATTTATATATACATGCACACAGAGGTGATCAAAAATGTTTGAATAATTAATATTTTTGAATGACGTCACACAGAGGCCGCATTTGTATGATCAAAAATTACAGCAAAATATTTTGAAATATTATCACGCTCTAAAATAGCTGTTTGCTATATAAATAAAGTTTAAAATTAATTTATTTACATGACAGAAAAGCTTAATTTTCCAGACACCTGGAGACTGCAGTAATGGCTGCTGAAAATATAGCTTTGTCATCACAGGAATAAATTACATTTTAAAATATATTCATATCGAAAACTGTTATTTTAAATTATAATAATATTTTACAATATTACTGTATTTTTGACTAAATAAATACAGCCTTGGTGAACATCTTTCTTCTTTCAAAAACATTTAAAAAAATGTAATTATTACAAACTTTTGACTGCCATTATATATTCATATTTTATTTTTATTGTTTGTGTCTTATGTGTCTGATCTTTATTCTCAGGAGACAGCTGGGAATGTAAGTGTGTCTTGGCCGATGGACACCAGCGTACGGTCAGAAAGGTAGCCTGGTCTCCCTGCGGGAAATATCTGGCATCAGCCAGCTTTGATGCCACAACATGCATCTGGAAGAAGACGAATGATGATTTTGAGGTTTGTTTTTGCATAAGCATAGTTTCAGACCCTTAAAAATTGAAAGAAGTGACATTGTTAACATCTCGTCGGACTGACATTTCCGTCATGTGTGTTTACAGTCCCTGACAGTGCTAGAAGGTCATGAGAACGAGGTCAAGTGTGTGGCCTGGGCTCCGTCTGGAAACTTACTGGCCACCTGCAGCAGAGACAAAAGTGTTTGGATCTGGGAAGGTACATCAGGAAGTGATAAATGAATAGTCTCTCTATAGCAAAAATACAATTTGTTTTGTTTAGAATGACATAAACTAATGAAAGGGACGTGCATTAAGAAAGTAACATTTATTTCGTTTTCACTTTAAGGTTTGACTTTGAGTTTAAGGTAGCAATTTTAAGTTATATGTATCATCATAATTCCGGTCAACTAAGTAGTTTCATGTAATTCTGTCGACAAGACATAACCAAAGGTTTTTTAAATATAAAAATTAGAAATTATTAAATTAAATATGCATACAGTATTTGCATACATTTTCAGAAATCTGATCATTAGATAAAGCCAAATTCTTGTTTCATTTTGATGATATATTATAGTCAAAGGTTTTCCAAAAGGAAAAACGGGATATCTAATTGAATCACTCCATAAATCAGAAAATACTATCAGCAGCCTGGAAAAAATATGTATATTTTTCATCATGTTTTAGGAATAAAATGTTATGTAAATCAGGCAAATGATATATGAACAAACCTTCAGAATATAGATTGGAATAAAATTGTAAAGTTCTGTCCATGTAAGTGATACTAAAGTGGAGATTTCTGGCTTAAATATTTTAAGAAAACAGCCTTGTATTGTAATTTGAATCTACAGACACAAATAGATCAAATATATAGTTCAGTCATGAAACTCTAGATGGCGCAGGCTGAC